TTGTTGGTCATTTTACTATAAAATGTATGGTTGATATATCTTAATATAAAATGCATTATTTACACTATTTACATTGTTCCGATTACTGTTCCCATTTCTCTTGTCATAATCACGACGTTTCGGTCGTTGTACGCGCCAGCCTTCATCAGGTGATATACGTTTGAACGTTTTAGTTCCACATGCCATGCCTGATATGGCACGTGGAACTAGAACATTCTACCCCGGTGGACGAAATAAATGGCTCAGTTTGAAATTCCAACGTATATGACCTGAAGAATGCCGGAGTGTACAACGACTGAAACGTCGTGAATATGACAACAGAGATGAGAACAATAGTCCGAACTATGTCAATAGTGTAAATAGTAACAATACCACACCTCAGAAATAGAGATAGATATAAAATGTATTGCTGGCAATTTTACTATATGTATTTTTAGTAATTTTACTATAAATAGATATTGTTAGTACTATTTACCCATAGCTGCGACACCAACAGGTACTACCAGCCCAGGTCAGGTTGGAAGTGGGAACAAAAGCAATTAAGAGGTGGTTTCACACTCCTTAAAACCTCCAATCTTCCGATCAGGGTCCTTGCTGCAGGATGTACTTTATCGTCAAACCCAGATCTATTGAAATTAGTTCATGAGCATCATGCAGTTTTCATGTTGGACTCTTAAACACCTAGCAACAAATAATGCTATATGTCATGTGACATTTTAGGGTTTTCTTACTCTGGCAAAAGATCATAAAATATGATTTTTATTTTCCAATATGATTCGTAGGTTGATTAAAGCATCAAAAGCGGTGATTGTCCTGGAGCAGTTGACGAGATATATAGCGAGAAAATTCTTTGTCAGGGATCTTCTTATTCCGACATAACATCAGATTGATTTTCAATACAATTCGTACATGGTGACGAAAGAAGAAAATGCAATGATTGTCCTGAAACAGCTGACGAGATATAATTTCTTTGTCCTAAATTTTCTTTATTTCGACAAGGAACCAAACTATTTGAAGACAATTCATAAATTTTGGTGTTGACATTGAACCCAACTATTTTCTTGTAACGAAAGATAATTCAATGTTATGACGCCGGACAAAATTTTTAATTCAATCTCATCTGGTCTTATGCCAAATAAAAAATATTAATGTCGAGTATTTTTATTTTAATCCTTGTTGAACCAATTTCTACATGGCCAACTTATATGCGATGTGTGTCCAGCAGGGACAGCTCTCTGAGATTGCATTTGCAAGATAATGAACAAAAACGGCCTAAAGGAAAATTCATCTCTACCAACATTCATTTAATTGGAAGGTTGCAAGGTTTGTCGACAGGATTTAGAGCGATATCTCATTTACCGTAAATTGCAGAAATTTTATCTGATTTCACGTGCGTTGTAAACCTTCCGCCCTGCGGATAAATAACGTTAATCTTATGCAGAAATCCCTGTCGGGTCGGTTCGAGTGACCACTGCGCGAGAATAATGGCGTTAATTGCAATATATCGCTAAGGGTGTAATTCGAATAAAGAACGATCGGAATTTTTTTTTCTTTTCATTTAGTTTCCCGCAAAAACGCGAACTTCCATAATTTTAGAAATCATCATCATCATCATCATCATCATCATCATCATCAGGTTTGCCCCCAGTGTTGATGACCTTAAAATTTTAACAAGCCAGAAATTTCAGAAATTTAAATTAATTTAAAAATTAAGATGACCAGAGTCTGGCAGCTGACCTCACAGTCCTCCCATTCAAGCCTCGGCAAAAACGTTTACAGTGCCTTGCAGGCGAGGAATTATTTCTCAACCTTTCAACCGATGTAACGTCGCAAGGCCATCACCATTCTGTTGCTATTTCTATCAAAATGTGCTGCTATATCTGACCTAGAGCTACACAATCCTCCCATTCAAGCCTCGGCAAAATTTGCAACACTAGATGGGAGTGAGGTAGCTACTGAAGAAGAAGAAGAAGAAGAAGAAGATCATCATCCCCAGTCCCTCGATTGCCTCAGTCCTCAGAAGGGTAGTGGCAAGACCTAAGAAGAAACAGACAACCGCTTTCAGTCTGATCTGTTGGCAGCGGCCCTCAGGAGTTCCGGCATTCCCGTGTCCGTGCACTCTTTCCCTAAAAGCATAGAAGATGCGAACGTTCCACGGTCCGATGGTGGTACCCTGCATTGGTAACTTGGCGGTGTTTGTTGCTTCAGTCGCTCACTTGTAACGCCCATCCTGGAATAAGTCAATGGGACGTTGTTGATCCGGCATTGGTGCTGCTTTAACTCTTCTTCCTCATGATCTTTCCTGTGGACTTTCAGGTACCTTGGTGGCGCCCATCTCCTCTCCAATTTCTTAAATTTTAAAAGACGGAAGCCTAAAAAGAACAAATATTATTTTTTTCTTGTTCTTGACCTTCACTTAGAAAACGAAACCCCTAACTATAGCTCTGAAATCTAACTCTGACTATAACCTATCCAGTCAACTTTAATCTGCAAAAATGTAAATGAAATGTCAATCGCTATCTATTATCCTCCTGTTGACACTTTTTTCTTTCGGCTCATCATTAATGTTTCTGTTCCTAATTCTTCCGCACTCTGTGACCCCTTGTGACTTTACTATTTTGCATGGGGTGAAACTGATTAAAAGGAATCTATTTCTGCTTTATATGAACGATATACCTATGAATATTCTATGATTGTTAGTAGATATATATGCAGGTGATACCACAATTTACGGTTGCGCCTTTAAAAATTAAGATGACCAAAGCCTGGCAGCTGATCTCTCATCTGATTAAGCTCTAACAGTCCAAAGATGGAGAAACGGCCTTGTAATTTTCAATACTTTAAACACACAAATCAGTAACTTTTCATCATCATCATTGAGTTGACTCTAAATTCTCACCAGCCACAATGAAGCGTTTCACTGTCAAAGAGGCTCCTTGTTTTGAACGTCTTTTATGAGTAGGGTTTACCCTGGACCTGAACTGGAACACATATATACGATCCATCGCTAAAGATCCTTTAAAAGGTGCCGGTTCTTCATATCAGAAAGTATCTGACCGCCTGCCATGTTTTATCGTTACAAAAATCCTATCAAGCCCAAAATAGACTCCTGCTGCCATATGTAGGCTGGAACTTCTTTGCAGCCCTTATACAGTTCAAAAGCGTTTATGCGGCCTTGTAGGCGATGAATTATTTTCCACGTGACAACCACTTTCCCACAGACGCAACATCACAAGCCTTATCGCTATTCTGTAGCTGCTTTCATGTTCTGATGAGTTCTACTAGTTCTGATAATTGCCGCCATTACTTATACACAGGGGCGAACCATAGGCATTGATTTGAATTCCATTGGTAAGAAGGAAGTTACACAGCAAATCGGATAAAAAAAAATGAGTACTGCTGCTATATCTGACCTGGAGCTATACAATCCTCCCATTCAAGCCTTGGCAAAAACGTTTACAGTGCCTTGCAGGCGAGGAATTATTTTCAACCGTTGCAACGTCGCAAGGCTATCACCACTCTGTTGTTGCAGTTTTTTGGATATATGTACTAGTGAGCCAGTCAAAATTTTATAGTCCACCAAGAAAAGGATTAACCAATCAGAAGACGTAGAATATTCAATCCGTCGTGTATAAAGGCGGCCATTTTGTTTACTCTCTCTGAATGTCTAGTGCCAAACTTGTCAGGTGAAAGAACAGAAGGAAGAACTACTGAACTACGCTCTGCTACCTTTTACCAAAATATCCACTGCTAACCTGAACAACGCTTCGAAATATTCACTGCTAACCTCTGGATTCTATACTCAAAGACGACCGTCATCATGAACAACATCTGTCGCTATTTCTATGGAAAATGTTCTGAGAAACTACATTGTTTACTTCCGCCAGTTCAGACCTTTACAACTGTGACCCTGTTTCACGTACACAACGTCGGACCATCGTCATTCGCTTCGTATTCCATTTGTAAGAAAGAAGTTCCACTTCTTACCGAGAACCGCTGCTTTGTACAATAAACTCCCTAGAGGATACTTCCCTAATCACTATAATCTAAATCCCTTCAAGCCTAAAATTAACCATTATCTATTCGACATAATATCGTCATCTGCAGTGCTTACATTCTCTTTTTTTTAAATCCTCGCAAAATCCTCCTTCAGTACACTCTACCTTGAGAGGCTCTTGGATTTTGTATTGGACGAACAACGGTATAAAAAAAAATACTCCACAAAGTTTTAACAGGATTAAAGTCGAGAGACAAGTAAGTCACTTTATCAAACCTTGAAACAGATTTTATTTGAATTTTTTAAAGTTTTGGGGTGGGGATTGGGTGTTGGGATTTGAAGAGGGGGTTTACCAGTCGTACGTCCTGAGTATGACGATAAACTACATCCGGCAGCAAGGCCTCTGATCGGAGGTTTTAAGGAGCGTGGAACCACCTGTTAATTGTTCCCGTGTCCACCCTGGCCCGGGCTGGTAGCACCTGTTAGGGTCCCAGCTATAGGGGAATAGTTAGCCTTCAAACAGCAGTCAAAACAATATGGAAGTATAAAAGTACAGTTTTATCGTAAAAATACCAGCAAGAAATTTCCATAGTAAAAATATTACCAGCAAGAAATTTCCATAGTAAAAATATTACCAGCAAGAAATTTCCATAGTAAAAATATTACCAGCAATACAATTTTGTAAATTCCCCGCAAAATTAAATTTCGGTATTTAATGACCCATGAGTTGATATGCCGATAAACAAATTGTATACATAATTACCAGGATATTTTTCGTTTATTAAAATCATCATCTGAAAGTATATTGGATAAGTACAGTTCCAGCGCGGATATGGCAGCTTTTTCTTCTTCTTCTTTTTTTTTTCTTTGTTGTCTGATCTGACTGTTATAAAGAGAGAGTATGAGGGGTCAGTTACTTTAAGGAACCTACCATTTTCCCAGCATTGTGAAAAGGAAAGATTTTTCAATGCCGGAGAGCAATTTACTACTAAAAATGAAGGGCTTGCGTCCACATCAGGTCGAAACACCTCTTCCCATATGATCACCGGAGTTAAGCAACGTCGAGCCTGGTTTGTACCTAGATGACTGACCGCTTGAGAATACCAGCTGCTGTAAGGCTTGGATGTTCGTATGGCATGGCTTACGCCCAGATCACGTCGAAACAACGGTTCCGTACGATCACCGAAGTTAAGCAACGTTGAGCCTGGTCAGTGCCTAGATATGTCCCCGCTTGGGAATACCAGGTGTTGTAAGCTTGGATCTACGGCTGATATGACTTACGGCCATATCACGTTGAAGCTCCGGTTCCGTCCGGCAAACCGAAGTTAAGGAACGTTGAGCCTGGTCAGTGCCTAGATGGTTGACCGTTTGGAAATACCAGGTGCTGTAAGCTTAGATGTGTGGCTGGTGTAATGTATAACGACTCGGAATTGATAATCGGAGAGCCCTGTTCCAATCCCAGTTGTGTTCATGATATTCACTTACGCGCAAATAGCCTGGTGTGGGAGAATTCAGATCTTTACTTATTGGTGTGCTCAGATCGAAGATTATTTTTACAGTGAGGTTAATCCTGTACAAGTTCCGGGAGTACTCGAGGTAGAGTGTTATATTAAGGAGTAGTTTGTATAGTTTGGAGGGAAGATATCGGTTAACTCTTGACTTGAACAGGTTAAGATTATAGTGATGGGGGAAACATCCTGTCGGGAATCGGTTCCCTAGGGCAATGGTTCGCGGGGAGAAGCTGCTCGAATGGAACGTATTTCTCACCGATGGAATACGAAGGGAATGTGGGTGGTCTGTTATAATGTAAGGTGTGGTCTTACCGTGAAGGTTAGGCCTAGCGAAAACAAGGAATGTAGTTCGTCCGAGCACTTTCCATGGAAGTATCGATAGAACAGCAAGAGGCTTGCCACATTCCACCTGTGAGAGAAAGAGCCCATTTGTGTGTATAGGAGTGGAAGATAACAGTTAACCCGAGCCATGAACAGGTTAAGATTGTAATGATCGGGGAAACATCCTGTTGGGAGTCGATTACATAGGGCAGTGGTTCGTGGGAAGAAGCTGCTCGAGTGGAACTCACTTTTCACCGATGGAATACGAAGAGAATGTGGGTGGTCTGCTACTATGTAAGTGCCAAGGCGTGGTCTTGCCGTGAAGATTACGCATAGCGGAACCAAGGTGTGTAGTTCGTTTGAGCACTTTTTTATGGAAAATAGCGAGTGTGACTAATAGCGAAAGAATTGATTATACAAATCCAAAGAGTGCGGCGGACTCTAAAAGAGGAATTGGAAATGAGAATTTTTTTCTCAAAGACGGTGCCAGAAATCTTGAAAACTGAATTCCAGGAATTGCCTGTGAATGCAGTTTCTTTACCAGCTCACTATTGTCTGCTGTTACCTTTCAAATTACTCCCTTTGTGAAGTTCGAGACGATAGGGGCCAGGTAAGCAAGTTTCGTTATCAACGGACCATTCCGAGAAATAAAACCTCACATACCGTAATCAGTGGACTAAAAAACAAAAATGACATCTTCAAAGCTTTCATAACATTACGACATGGGCACCTCGACCTGGTGTAATAGTTAAGCATACTCGTCTCTCTCGATCAGTTATGCGTGAATAGTGAGTATGGTTCTCACTGGGTGCACCATACTTTCGGCCTTGTGACACATCTAAGCCACGCCTAGAAAATCATTTTGTACAACTCGGCGTAGTGTAATGGTTAGAAAGTTTGTCTTGCTAAATCAGTTACGTCTGAAAAGTGTGTTCGATCCTCACCAGGTGCCCCATTTTTTCGTTATTTTCTGTTAGACTCGGAAAATAACCATTGGTGCATTTCGACGTGGTGTAATGGTTATCTTGTCTTTCCAGATCAGTTATGACTGAGTTGTGAGTTCGATCCTCACTGGGTGCTCCACTCTTTCGGCTTTGTGACACGTCTAAGCTATGCTTAGAAAATCATTGGGAACCTCGACACGGTGTAATGTTTAGCAAACATGTCTCGCTAGGTCAAATATGACTGAATAGTGAGTTCGATCCTCACTGAGCGCCCCATACTTTCAGCCTTGTGCCACATCTAAGCTACGTTTAGAAAATCACCATAACTTTACAACTTTTTTTTTTTTTTGGTCATAACTAAAATGGAATATTCGAGAATATAAAGTCTTGTGTATATTTCTCGTCTATCAGTGTGCCAAGAATAAGTCGACTGCACCTCCGACAGTGGGTTAAGATTCCATTACAGGGAACCGAGGGGGGGTGCCCGAATGTAAACCTATTGCCCCCAACCGACTCAGAAATGTTGAAACAGTCAGCGGTTTACCACTTTCTCGGATCAATGGTTGAAAATGGGGTAAATTTTCATTTTAACACCCGAGCGCTAATATCCCTTCAAATTTTTCCAAAATAGCCTTATTTCCGTGCAAATGTATATGCTGAACTCAAATCAACAATTAGATATTAAAGAAACCTACCTTTTTGGATGTTAACGACCCGAAAAAAAATCGGACTTTTTCCTGGTCTTTCGTCGGCAATTTGCGTCTTATTGATATGTAATTCAGTGCTGAATTATGTCGGTGAATGTATACAATTTGGGCCTATTTACTCCCTACACAGTAATTCCTTGTAGTTAACTTTCAAATTAGGGTTAGGTGTTTTTTTTCTTTTGTTATTCTTTTATTTGTCGATGTTTACATATATTTGAAAGTTAACTTTATTCTTACATTAAGTACAAAAAATCGCTTTACGGAAACGCTTACTAATTTCTGAAAGAAAATAGTTCAGCAGTAAATGACGCTCGGGTGTTAAAATGAAAATTTATCGAAAATGGCTTCGAGCGAATGAAGCCTGTGTGTCTTAGGGAAGACCACTCTGCTTTGAACCTTGTGGTCCGGCGATACAGAGGTCGCCTCCCTCTGTTTTTTTTTTTTACAAATACTTTCATGGTAACTGCTCCAATGAGCTGCTTTCGCTGATTCCCAGACTTCATGAATTTAAGCGTTCTACTAGACTGGCATCTCGCTCACGCCCTTTCACTGAAGAAACTGTTAAATGTAGCCGTCTCTTTTACTCCAAAATAGCTTCATGTCTCGCACCTCTCGACTGTGGAACTCCCTCCCCTTTTCCTGTTTTCCTGATAGCTATAATCTCCAACTATTCAAATGTAATGTCAATCGACGTCTCCAGATGCCCTGATCTATCCCCTATCATTCTCTTCATCCTTTCCTCTATCACTCCTCTTTGCTCTAGCTCCAACTCTCTGTAACCCCTAGCGTGCTAGTGGCTTCCCGCCTTGCGTGCTAGTGGCTTCCCGTCTTGCTTGGGGAGAAACGCTTAAAAAAATCAGAAAAATCACATGACTTGAGGATTTTCAACAACGGCAACAAATGAAATGAATAGCCCATGGAACTCGAAGAGAAAATAATAATATAACCAACAAATTAGGAAGAAAGCCCCCATCAATACAGGAAATAACCAAGTCATACAAGCAACCAAATTTACCATGTAAATAGTTCTAGACTCATAAATCATAGCTTGCCTTCGCAAAACGAAGATCAAGAGGAAGTCTATACACGTCGTTTACTGATACCTTTGTGACGGTATTCAATGCGGTACACGGTCGCAGTAGTTGCAGCTTAAAGTCCAGAGTTCGAGGACATAACTTTGCAGTACTTCCTCCAATGTCTCTTGTCCCTGAGAGCCACCCTGCAGGTATTTTCAAAGAACTAGACAGCAGCGTTGGTGATGAAACGCCAGACGTGACGGCTCTCAGCTAGGACAGGAAACTCAAAAATAAACGACCAACATTTACCTATCCCCGAACCAAGTAAATGCCTATAGACTGATATATAAACAATCAAGACAAATCCCTCCTTTTGGCCTAGTGCCACATTTTTGTATATTTTCAAAATAAATATTGCTTTCCTTTTTATGAATTTAAGCACAGTACTAGATTGGTGGCAAGATCTCATCATTTATTTTACAGTTGAAATATCGAGATGCAACCGTAAGTTCTATGCAAACAGTTTCTTCTATCGCACTTCCCGCTTGTGGAACTCTCGTCCAGCTTCTTTCTTTCAAGTCAACTTTGATCTTTAATTATTTAAATGCAATGTTTTATCGTTATCTTCTGTCTTCTTAATTCCCGCAGTCCTGGGAAAGACGATAAACTACATCCAGCAACAAGGCATCTGATCAGGAGGTTTTGAGAAGCATTGAACAACCTCTTAATTGCAGGTGTTCCTAGGTCCACCCTGGCCCGGGGTAGTAGCACCTGTTAGGGTTCGACATATGGGAAAATAGTTAACCCCCAAACTGGAGTCAAAACGTGTAAAAATAGATTTTAATACCTACAAAATATTTTTGTAAAGATTACCAGCAATTTTTGAGGAAAAAATTATTATCAGCATTACATTTTTGGAAAAAATATTACCAAAAATACTTTTAAAAAAAAAAAATTACCAACAATAAAAATCATGTCGGCATTAAATAACCCATTGAGGTTGATATACCGTAAAACAAAACAAACCAATCCAACTTAATTTCCGTTCTTTTATCGTTTTCTCTTTCCTTAATAATGTTTTATCTCATATTCTCTAACACGCAGTAACCGCTTGCGTCTTCGTGGCTTTATTTCCTTGCTTGAGGTGAAATGATTAAAATATATAAGTTCTGCTCACCCATTCCCTGTTCTAATAAATATTGTATAATAGTAATATTTTGACAGGAATTCTAGCGGAACAGGGAGAAATAGACTCATGCCTTTAACGAGTGTAATATTACCAAGTGAATATAAGTGTGCGAAATTCGGACTAGCAACGCTGATTCCATTTCCAATCACGAAACTCATAACCCTATTAAGATCGTGGGGGCATCACGCGTACTGCTGCCGCAGTAGCAATGGTGTTTTCTGGGCAAGACAGCCTGACGAAGCCCAACCCACTCCAGGCTGGTTTTTGAATTCAGAGATTTTCCTCCTTCTAGACCGGTTCTATATGACTGCCCTGCTATTTAACCCATAGCTGGGAAGAGAAGAGATAGATTCATACGTTTCACAAGATATTTTCACGTAAATAAATGTAATGAACTCGATTGGAATTCGAAATCGGTTGCCCAATTCCTCGATCAGTCCGTGCCCGCTTCCCATTTCCTATAAGAATAACTGAACGACTCCTAATGCCTATTTTTTTTTAATCGAGCTGCAAACAAGGCAATAAAGCCACTAAGACACAAGAGGTTACGAGGTGTGAAAGAATTAGAAAACAGAAACGTTACTAAGGATCAAGAACAAAAGAAGAGTAATCAGGAGGACAGTAGACAGCGATTGACATTGCATTTAAATTTTTGCAGATTAAAGCCTGGGGCCAGAAGGAAGTTACACAAGCGAGAAGTGCG